CCCCCCCCCCCCCACCCTTCTCTAGAGTTCTGGTTCTGCAGCTGCAAAGTGATACATTTCTAGCTTGTCAGAAAGTGCCGAAATTCCAGGCTAATAGTATTATAATAATAATTTTGAGTTTATAAAATATCGATATTGTTCTGACTTTCTTGCCACCCTGCTATCTTCCATCCTTCAATTCCCATGTTGCAAAAGTAGCGAGTAACGTACTTCATCATAAGTTTTTGGTGCAAAGAAAAAAAAAATTGGCACATTTCGGATGAGAAAAAACACTCGATCGAATTTGTTTTATGAAAATAAGGTATTTATTGTCTTTAATTAATAATAATAATAATCATCATCATCGTCGTCATCATTATGACAGGCACAAGGACAATGTCGCTAACTTATCTTAGAAAAGTTTTGTTTCATTTCTTTTAGCTTCTGGTTCTACCCGGTATCAATACGACTCAAAAGCCTTCTTATTTTCGCTGGTAAACAAACCAGGATGAGCGCCTGTCAAATTGTCTCAGTCAGAGCAGTATTGTTATAGAAAATATTCCACATTCTTTCTCTCATCCTATGGGCCTACATTCGGAGGAGGACATGACATTCACATTTCCAACTACGCGTCATCTAATAGCAATTCTTACAGCAACCTTGGCTATACTTACAGCCCACCGAGCGGGTTCAGCGTCATCAGCACCTTCGCACGAACATTCCTGGCAGGAACATACAGATTCACAACAGACGAAGTTGAAACCTTTTACGAAACAACCTAATTAATATAATTCGTGACACCGGCTTTGATATTTGAGCTGAGCTGATTGTACAAGTAGACGCTTAAGCAAGCCGCGGCCTTATTTCTAAATAAGAACACAATCATTAGAACGTAAACTACAACATTTTACAAATAAACGAAAAAAAGAATTGTCAAAAAGAGAAATGATTTTGATATCTAAAACTGGTCCAACTGCGCTGATCTTTTTTCACCTGGATACGAGTCTGGGGGCAGCTATACTGTCATCTGTCAGAAAACAGTTACTTCCTTATCACGAGGGCAAAGAAATCTCAGTTTTCGAGTAAACAAAGTTGAAAAAAAAGCAGTACATTGATACTTTACTGAACCAGGCTGTCCTCACTGCTTTGTTGCCAAATGCGATACCACTAATATTAGTAATCAAAGATTAAGATTACTAATGCTTAATGTGGCAACACTATCTCATATACAGGAATAGACTGCTTGCAGTCACGTGACGATCACCTTCTAGCAGTGTAGTAATTAAAATTACCAGCGTTGGGTTACTACCTCATGTAAGCCCTACGTATAAAATCTGAGGCACATCAGTATCCTTTATGACTGACCTATTATATAAAATCCGACTTGTCAGAAATTAGGAGGGGGGAGCGGAGGTGGAAAACAGGGGAGGGTCGCAGTTTTTTAAGCCCTTCGAAAGGGAGGGTGATGAAAAAAATGACAGGAAAAGAGGGAGGGTCACAAAAAAATAAACCACCACGATCGTGAAAGGATGCTTTAATTTATATTATGTTTTACAAGAATACAAACCACTTACGAGAATCATGACATGCGATTATTTCCTGACACACAGTTTAACCTCCATTAAGCGGCCACAGCCACCTTTTGGCCATCCCAATGAGAGTTTTGTTTGTTGTTACCTCAAGCAGCAATGCATTAAGCGGTTGATACACATACTTTGGCTTTATTTCAAGCATACGATGAAGGAAAATACAGTCCGAGATAGAAGTTGACACGTATGGGCCTATGCGCTCTGCATCATGGCTCTTGGCTGGGGTGTAATGGTTCTCATAATTATCAGGTTATAGCTAGCCTTCATTTTGATCTGTTTTGCTTTCTTTTTGCCTGCATTTTTGTGACTTGCCCCTGACTGGAGCATCACTTCAAGTGTTCTCCGCTGAAACAACATTCAGAAGAATAACTTTTTTCGCGCAAATTGTCTGATCTTAGTGAGTCTGTCTTTGCTTCTTATAGTCGTTAAGAAGAAACTGTTATTATCCCATTGAAACCAAAAACTTTCTTTTGCTCTATTTTCCCAACAACAACAACAACAACAAAAAACACTTGCATGTTCGTTATTGGTCAGTTTTAATACAAGTTTGCTTTTTTGAAAGTACTGAATTATTTTCCCTGTACCACTGTATAAAAAGTGGGACTTGTCATTTATTCAGGAGAAGGTCATAAAATTGTAGGATGCTTTCCAGGGGAGGGTCGGGACATTTTAATCCCTTACCTAAGGAGGATCATTTTATTTTCAGCGCTTAACTAAAAATCTACCTCCCCCCCCCTGCTAATTTCTGACAAGTCCCTTATAAATACCCTTATAGGAAATTTCTACTGATAATAAATAGATAAAAGATCACTTTTACGGGCTAGTATTAATTGTTAGTGTACTTACAGGACTTACAATTCAATAGAATTACTCATGTTTGTCATAAAAAGAGTGCTTCATTCTCTCAACGTTATCAATAACGAGGGTTAATGGTCGCGTGGTCAAACTAGTTTCCTTTCCTGTAAACGTGATGTTTGATTTCGGCAATAATTTAAAATATGGTATCTGTTGGAACTTTGACCACGTTTGAGTGCAACAGGAGAAAGGTGAACAACCGGCAGAGCAGCCCGGTTTACGTCAATCTAACGTAAGCTAATTTACTACACTTGTTTTTATGGGCTTAAGGAGAAGGGATCAGGTTTAACTTGCAACTTTCTCTCAAACTTGGAGTGACTGTGACAGAAAACAAGAATTGAAGTAAATAAATTACTCATGCTCGAATGTTTGTTGCAAAAACAGAAACTTTATTCTCTCCACGTTATCGAGAATGAAGAATAAAGCCAATGGTCACGTGGTCAACCTCTTACCTTTCCTGTAAACGTGATGTTTGATTTCTGCAATTATTTTAGAATAAGGAAACTGTTGCAACTTTGACCACGTTTGAGTGCAACAAGAAGAAAGTTACAGCTTACGTCAATCTAATGTAAGCTAACACTCTTGTTTTTCTGGGCTAAATCAGAAGCGGATCAGGTTTAACTTGCAACTTTCCCTCAAACTCCGGTCTTCGAGTGGTTGTGAAGCAAAACGATCGTAAAGCTACAAAAATGAAAACCGTAAACTCTTCAAAATCTCAACGAGTCCTTGAGTTTGTTCCGTCAATTAGACCATCGTTCCTTTCGGTGGTATTAGTTTTAGTTTGCGGATGTCTCTGGGTGAAAAATGAAGCAACAAACGAACGACTGATTTCACTGGAATCTCGTATTTACAGCTGCGTTCCTTTCACTAAGCGTGGCACGATTGATAATCTTGACAGGACGACTTTCTCACCGACAAAAGATATCGCAATAGACCTTTCCAAGAGGATGCAGACACAAGTTTCAGATGATGGGAACGGCTATACCTCAGGTAAAATTTATTCTTACTCTTCTTATGCGGATGGCCTTATGTACATTGAGGATGTTTAGACCTGCTTTTATCTTCCCTCGGTTAAGAGATAATCTTTCATGACGTGAGTTCCCGTTAACAACACGGGATCTTTGCAATTCCAAAATAGTATCAGATTTTAACTTAGTCTGACTTGGACTGTATGAAACTGTTTTGTAATGCTCCCTAGATGTCAGTAATTATGCCACTGCCACTGATAAAAAGCCGAAGAGATCTACAATGTAAATAAAGTTGAATTTATAAATAATGTGTTTAACAAGGGCAGAGCAAGACTCCTTCACGCGCCAGATGGTCGATATCATTACTACACAGCTTTTAACAAGATTGTCTTTTTAGGATTTTTAGCTAGACGACACTAGATGAGGTTCCTTAAACATTTCTTTAAGTGGGGCCTGCATGTGCTTCTGGTTTGAGGTTATTTGGGGTCTCGAAATTGAAAGGTATTGCGTGACCAATTTCAAGCAATTATGACCCAATTCTTGGCAATTCATTTTTAGATTTATGTGTTTGCTTTAGATTGAGCTATTTTCAGGTTAAAAATCCGTTAAAAAATGGGCAATTATATCATTTTTTAGATGTTCGAAAATCCTAGGAGAAGCTGGCAAGTAAGAAATTTTACAACAAATGTTCCGAAAATTCTAGATCTCAAATCGTCTTCCGAACAGATATTTTGCGAAAATTGACGTTGGGTGCCCCTGATTGGATAATTAACAGGTATTATCTAATTTTACTTTACTGCAGTCAGCCCGTTGCCAATAAAGGTGTCAGCAACAATCCGGGTAAGAAAGCGAAGAAACGTTTTGAACGACACTTCAACTGGCATCACCATACAAGAAGTGAGAAAAGAAATCAGCAAGCAGTTTGAACAACTTATGCCCACCAAATACTGTAAGTCAAGTGAGAAGGTCTGTCCTGCAGGTCCCCCCGGTCTTCCTGGTCCCACTGGGGTAAGGGGACCACGTGGCAGGAGAGGCCCAAAAGGAAAGAAAGGCCCTCAAGGTCCCATGGGACCTCCTGGAAAATCCGGAAAAACAGGAATAACTGGTCCTGCAGGACCGAGAGGAGAAAAGGGAGATAAAGGAGAGCCTGGGCCAAAAGGCATTCCGGGACCACCTGGAAGGCCTGGAAAATCGATATCTGCTCCACAAGTGATGTTGTCGCCTGCAGAGCAGACACGAGATGAGGGAGGAAATACGGCATTTTATTGCACAGTTGTAGGAAACCCTTCCCCAATCGTGGAATGGCAATTTAAGGGCACAAAGCTTCTGTCAGGCGCAAAGTATCTGATTAAAGAAGGAGAGTTGATCGTTAGAAATCTGAATTACAGCGATGCTGGACCTTACACATGTGCTGCCAGGAACATTCTTGGATCGTCTGAGGCCACTGTCAACTTGACTGTTCGAGGTAAGAGGAGCATTTAACTTAGAGTTTTGTTATATCTGGCTGCTTGATTTTGTAGGCTTCTTTGTGCTCAGAGAATGCGAGAATACCAGGTTTGAATATAAAAATGGCACCGTTAATTTTTTAATCATATACTTTTATCTCTTCTTTCATTTTTTTCTTATTTCTTAAGCAGTGTATAACGCCAAACTTTAAATTTACTCACTCATACAACAACAACAACATAAGCTTTATTTGCATGACTATAATTACTTAGTTACAGTATTGCAAAAGCTTTAACATAAAGTTACAATTTATTACAATGATAATGCAATGTAATGATTACTACAGTCAATCAAGTGTCATCACCATGATTTGATAATAAATTAGTGCGTAAATCATTACATAATGAGACAAATGATCAAGGACTTTAGATTTTGCTCATTAACATTAGGCAAGTAGTCACGAGAGTAGTTCAACGTTTAATCTGAACCATACAAACATAAAGGCAATAAATAATATTAAAGACATTAAAACATGACAGGAATATTTGGACCTTACATGAACGCGATGGCACACAACACCATCCTTCTCCTCCTCTCCTTTTAGCTTAGACCACCCGGAGAAGTTACTTAGGTTAATTTTTGCTGGATATGTGCTGCTGGTCTCTCAGAACTCTTACTCCATTATATTCTATGCATGCTGGTCGATCATGTATCGGCTCTATTTCAGGTCTTCCAATCTTCGCAAAAGTTCCACCTTCACTTGCCACACCAGTTCAAGGCACCACGTTTCAAGTAACATGTCAAGCTGACGGATATCCTCTCCCCGCGGTAACCTGGACTAGAGCAGCAATGCCTTTACCTGCTGGAAAGACTACTATAAACCAAGGCACACTTACGATTAGCAACTTGAGTCCTGCTGACAACGGTTTTTACGACTGCGTAGCTACTAACATTGTGGGGAAAAAGATGAAAAGACTCAACCTAGCAGTTCAAGTGCATCGTTCAGGTTTGTATTGAAGGCACCGTCTCACCCTGTATATACCTGATTCAATAAAAGGTTGCTTTGGTAATTGGGCACTGGGCATTTGGGCGTACGGAACTCACTGCAATGAATTGCTTGAGTGTCCACCAAACAATAGCTTCCCAGTGCGCAATTATACAATGCTCAAAGCAAGAATCAGGTAACCTTAGATTAAACGTTTATTTTAGTAGTGCAAATCTTCTTATCCAGCTTGCGATCTTGGTTAAACACCAGATAAGAGTGTTTATTAGGAAGGACAGTTTTTCGAAAGTCTAACTTTGCCACTGCGAGAACTATATGGCTATACCGAAATATATCGCAGGGTGATCTATTTGAATACTGCTTTTCTTTAAATTTTTGTTTTTGTTGTTTGTTTGTTTGTTTGTTTACTTTTCAGGCATTCCAAAACCATCTAATCACTGCTAAAGCCAGAAGAGAGCTACTATCATTGCGACTGTATGTTGCGCTTACAGAAATTTCCAACTTAAGACAATTATGCGTGTTTACTATTAAGAGTTTCAATGATCTTAAATGCTTAATCTTCCTTAGTAGCGCGCAAATCACGTACAAGCATGCGTAAATGCTTTCTTTAGTCACTTGCAATGCTACACTTTTTCTCAATAAATGCAGTTGTTTTAACATTTTAAAAACTTTTTACCTTGTCATTTTATGGACTTTGACTTTTAATACGTAGATTTTGAAAGCTCAGTCATTGTGGGAAACTACAGAAATCACTTGACGTTGTTAAGAAACTGGCTAGCACCTGTGGCAAAAAGCGTGAATTCTCTCTGGAAGCGCTGTTGGCATGCATCCGTGGACGGCTGGGCTGCAAGTACATTTCACTCACGATGTGACAGCAAGGGCCCGACTGTGACAATAATAAGGGTCGGGAGATATATTTTCGGAGGATACACAAGTATTTCATGGGGTAAGTGAGCATTGTAAGCCATGGCGGTGACATTTATACCTTTGGCGTAATCAGTTGGCATTGATATTTTCAGCTAAAAGTGCAGCTTGGTACCAAGCAATATGAAATCATGTAACGCTACCTTCCATACATGTTAAGCAGTGGCGAACAAAGGTTCTAGGTTAATGGATCTAGAGGGGGGCCCATATCCCCTCGTTCTTCCTGGGCCGAGGACCACCCCTCCTACACTCACATGGTGTGAATGAGCGCCACCCCCCACCCCTCTTCTCAAGTTCTGATTCTACAGATGATAAGTGATGCATTTCTAGCCTGTCAAAACGTGCCTAAATTCCAGGCTAACACTATTATAATAATAATTCTAGGTTATAAAGTATCGATATTGTTCTGACTTTCTTGTCACCCTGCTACCTTCCATCCTTCAATTCCCATATTGCAAAAGAAGCGACTAACGTACTTCATCGCAAGTTTTTGGTGAAATTCGCAAATTTTGGCAAAGAAAAAACATCAAACTTTCGTAATTTTGCCTGAGTGAAATGTCGCGAAGGGGATTCTTCTCTTCGGATTCCAACGATTTTAGTAGACTGAAATGGGTGACAGAAATACATAATTTTTTATACCTTTTCAAGGATAAAGGCTCCTAAAACTCTTTATTTTCTGTTTCCTTTACTGTCTTCTTAATACAGTACCCTTAAAATCGAACGAAGTATTAATTTACCAATAAAATGTATTGCGACATGCACCAGTTCATGTAAAAAAGAAGCTTCTAGCTTCGGCAAGTGGTAAAAAGGACAAAAACAGATAAATTTGGAGATTTGCTCCATAAAGTTATAAAAGAACATATCTTATTAATTACTAATTTTTTTCCCCGATCTATTGCTTGTAATTGCAAATCTTTTAAAATTGACATCTCCCCAGGCCGACACCTTAGCTTCGGTGAGCTTGCAGCCACAAAAAACTCTCTCCTGAGCGGACGAACCACGCTTGCCATGAGTATAGCTGTATCTTTTGCCAAAATACCTGCACGTAAATAATAATGCAATAAAATAATACTCATACTAATAATAATGATGATAATGATGATGATAATAATAATAATAATAATAATAATAATAATAATAAATATATAATGATAATAATAATATTGATAATGATAATAATAAAAAAGACATACTAGAAACCAGGAGCCCATTGATAGGCTCCTGTAGAAACTGATTCGTTTTTGATAAATGACGAACGTTACTGAGAAACTCGATCGAATTTGTTTCATTAGAAAAAGGTATTTACTGTTTTTAATTAATAATAATCATCATCATCGTCATCTTTATAACAGGCACAAGGACAATGTCGCTAACTTATCTTACAAAAGTTTTGTTTCATTTCTTTTAGCTTCTGGTTCTGGCCGGTGTCAATACGACTCAAAAGCCTTCTTATTTTCGCTGGTAAACAAACCAGGATGGGCGCCTGTCAAATTGTCTCAGTCAGGGCAATATAGTTCTAGCAGAGTAGATTCCATGTGCTTTAGCTCAACCATCGGGCCTACATTCGGAAGAGGAAATGACATTAACATCAAAAACTACGCGTCATCTAATAGCAATTCTTACAGCAACCTTGGCTATACTTACAGCCCACCGAGCGGGTACAGCTACGGCAGCACCTTCGCACGAACATTCCTGGCAGGAACTTACAAGTTCACACCAGACGAAGTTGAAACCTTTTACGAAACAACCTAATTAATATGATTCGTGGCACCGGCTTTGATATTTGAGCTGAGCTGATTGTACAAGTAGACGCTTCGAGGTGAACGAATCTACAGCACTAAGCAAGCCCCTTATATCTAAATCAAAACACAATCATTAGAACGTATACTACATCATTTCACAAACAAACGAAAAATAGAATTGTCAAAAAGAGAAATGATTTTGATATCTACAACTGGTCCAACTGCGCTGATCTTTTTTCACCTGGATACGAGTCTAGGGGCAGCTATGCTGTCATCTGTCAGAAAACAGTTACTTCCTTATCATGAGGGCAAAGAAATCTCTGCTTCCGAGTAAACAAAGTTGAAAAAAAAAAAAAAAACAAAACAAAACAGTACAGTGATATTTTACTCAACCAGGCTGTCCTCGCTGCTTTGTTGCCCAACGCGATACCACTAATATTAGTAATCAAAAATTAAGATTACTAATTGCTTAATGCGGCAACACTATCTCATATACAGGAATAGACTGCTTGCAGTCACGTGACGATCACCTTCTAGCAGTGTAGTAATTAAAATTACCAGCGTTGGGTTACTACCTCATGTAAGCCCTACGTATAAAATCTGAGGCACATCAGTATCCTTTATGACTGGCCTATTATATAAGATATTATTAAATAAAATATACCCCTATAGGAAATTTCTACTGATAATAAATAAATAAAAGATCACTTTTACAGGCTAGTATTAATTGTTAATGTCCAGACTAGAATTAAAATTCAATAAAAATACTCATGTTTGTCATAAAAAGAGAGCTTCATTCTCTCAATGTGTCAATAATGAGGGTTAATGGTCACGTGGTCAAACTTGTTCCTTTCCTGTAAACGTGATGTTTGATTTCAGCAATAATTTAAAATATGGTATCTGTTGGAACTTTGACCACGTTTGAGTGGAACAGGAGGAAGGTTAACAACCGGCAGAGCAGCCTGGCTCACGTCAATGTAATGTAAGCTAATTTACTACACTTGTTTCTATGGGCTTAGTGAGAAGGGATCAGGTTTAACTGTCTTGCAAATTTCCCTCAAACTTCGAGTAACTGTGACAGAAAACAAGAATTGAATTAAATAAATTACTCATGCTCGAATGTTTGTTACAAAAAGAGAAACTTTATTCTCTCCACGTTATCAAGAATGAAGAATAAAGAAAACGGTCACGTGGTCAACCTCTTACGCGATGTTTGATTTCTGATACCGTAAAATTCCGAAAATAGGCCCCTCCATGTATAAGCCCCTCCAAATGTATTAGCCCCCCAAACTCGTAACGCAAAAAACCCTCCGTTAAATCGCCCCTCCAAATATAAGCCTCCCCCCGGGGGCTTGTACTTGGAAATTGGCCTCAAATACAAAGTAAAACAAACAGAAACGGTAAATTTACTTCCAACTATAAGGCTAGCCCAATCAGTTTTGAAACGCAAATTTCATCCGTACATAAGCCCCTCCAAAAATAATTCCCTCAAAAAGGGCCCTTGAAAAGCATAAGCCCCGGGGCTCATTTTCGGAATTTTACGGTATTTTAGAATACGGACCGTTGGAACTTTGACCACGTTTGAGTGCAACAAGAGAAAAGATACCATCGGCAAAATAGCCCGGCTTACGTCACGTATCTAATGTAAGCTAACACTCCTGTTTTTATGGGCTTAATCAGAAGCGGATCAGGTTTAACTTGCAACTTTCTCTCAAACTTGGAGTGACTGTGACAGAAAACAAGAATTGAAGTAAATAAATTACTCATGCTCGAATGTTTGTTGCAAAAACAGAAACTTTATTCTCTCCACGTTATCGAGAATGAAGAATAAAGCCAATGGTCACGTGGTCAACCTCTTACCTTTCCTGTAAACGTGATGTTTGATTTCTGCAATTATTTTAGAATAAGGAAACTGTTGCAACTTTGACCACGTTTGAGTGCAACAAGAAGAAAGTTACAGCTTACGTCAATCTAATGTAAGCTAACACTCTTGTTTTTCTGGGCTAAATCAGAAGCGGATCAGGTTTAACTTGCAACTTTCCCTCAAACTCCGGTCTTCGAGTGGTTGTGAAGCAAAACGATCGTAAAGCTACAAAAATGAAAACCGTAAACTCTTCAAAATCTCAACGAGTCGTTGAGTTTGTTCCGTCAATTAGACCATCGTTCCTTTCGGTGGTATTAGTTTTAGTTTGCGGATGTCTCTGGGTGAAAAATGAAGCAACAAACGAACGACTGATTTCACTGGAATCTCGTATTTACAGCTGCGTTCCTTTCACTAAGCGTGGCACGATTGATAATCTTGACAGGACGACTTTCTCACCGACAAAAGATATCGCAATAGACCTTTCCAAGAGGATGCAGACACAAGTTTCAGATGATGGAAACGGCTATACCTCAGGTAAAATTTATTCTTACTCTTCTTACTCGGATGGCCTTATGTACATTGAGGATGTTTAGACCTGCTTTTATCTTCCCTCGGTTAAGAGATAATCTTTCATGACGTGAGTTCCCGTTAACAACACGGGATCTTTGCAATTCCAAAATAGTATCAGATTTTAACTTAGTCTGACTTGGACTGTATGAAACTGTTTTGTAATGCTCCCTAGATGTCAGTAATTATGCCACTGCCACTGATAAAAAACCGAAGAGATCTACAGCGTAAATGAAGTTGAATTTATAAATAATGTGTTTACAAGGGCAGAACAAGATTCCTTCACGCGCCAGATAGTCGATATCATTACTATACAGCTTTTCAATAACATTTCCTTTTAAGGATTTTTAGCTAGACGACATTAGATGAGGTTCCTTAAACATTTCTTTAAGTGGGGCCTGCATGTGCTTCTGGTTTGAGGTTATTTGGGGTCTCGGAATTGAAAAGTATTGCGTGACCAATTTCAAGCAATAACGACCCAATTCTTGGCAATTTATTTTTAGATTTATCTGTTTGCTTTAGATTGAGCTACTTTCGTTTCGCACTTTCTGGATAAATTTTCGAATAGTATAGACATTATAGATCACTATAGACAAAACGCATGTATTAAGATCTTATTCAGTCATGGAGATATTTCCGTTTCTTTCAAAGGAGTTTAGTCTAATTTGAAAAACCTTTCTTAACCCTTATGGGATTACAAGAGCGATTGAAGTAGGTGTATTCAAGATCTCAGTTGGCTTGAAATTCGTGCGCAGGTCTTAAGATTCGATTCTAGTTCTTTTGTAAGTTACCTTTAATAGAAATGTCAGCCGTATCATTCTTTCGTTCCTTCTCGATCTTGCTCATTTTTACAATTTATCAATGGATAATTAAAAGGTATTATCAAATTTTACTTCACTGCAGTCAGCTCGTTGCCAATAAAGGCATCAGCAACCACCCGGGTAAGAAAGCGAAGAAACGTTTTGAACGACACTTCAACTGGCATCACCATACATGAAGTGAGAAAAGAAATCAGCAAAGAGTTTGAACAACTTATGCCCACCAAGTACTGTAAGTCAAGTGAGAAGGTATGTCCTGCAGGTCCCCCCGGATATCCTGGTCCCACTGGAGCGAGGGGACCACGTGGCAGGAGGGGACCAAAAGGAAAGAAAGGTCCTCAAGGTCCCATGGGACCTCCTGGAAAATCCGGAAAAACAGGAATGACGGGTCCCGCAGGACCGAAAGGAGAAAAAGGAGATAAAGGAGACCCTGGGCCAAAAGGCATGCCGGGGCAACCTGGAAAGCCTGGGAAATCGATATCTGCTCCACAAGTTATGTTGTCGCCAGCAGAGCAGACACGAGATGAGGGAGGAAATACGGCATTTTATTGCACGGTGGCAGGAAATCCTTCCCCAATCGTGGAATGGCAATTTAAGGGCAGAAAGCTTCTGTCGGGTGCAAAGTATTTGATTAAAGAAGGAGAGTTGATCGTGAGAAATCTACATTACAGCGATGCTGGGACGTACACATGTGCTGCCAGGAACATTCTTGGATTGTCTGAGTCCACTGGTAACTTGACTGTTCGAGGTAAGGACATAATTGAGATTTACTCACCCAGCTGCTGACTGATCATTTTTATGCGAGTCTTCGTTGTGTACGTTCACAAACGGCGGCGATTGCATCCTTCTCTTGTTTAAGGGTTTTCCAATAGTTGATTTCGTTTTGCGTTATTCATCCTTTTTTGTTTTTCTGGTTTCACCGGTAAACTAGACCGGAAGCATGCTTCTGACTTAACTTAGGGTAAAACGTCTAAAACTTTACATCGTGTAGAAGCCCCGTTTTCTAATAGTTCTCAGTAGTTTCTATCCTTTGTTATACGGTTTGTACCTGTTTCCATTGTAAGATTTTATTTTTTTCCCTAGGACTTCCAATATTCACAAAAGTTCCACCACCACTTGCCACGCCAGTACAGCGCACTACCTTTCAGGTAGTTTGCCAAGCTGAAGGTTTCCCTCGTCCCGTGATAAACTGGAGTAGAGTGGGAATGCCTTTGCCAGCTGGAAGGACTGAAGTAAACCAAGGAACACTAACTATTAAGAACTTAAGTCCTGCTGACAGCAGTTTGTACGACTGTGTTGCTAGTAACATTATGGGAACAAAGAAGACCAGGATCAATGTGGCCGTACAACGAAAGCCAGGTTTGCTCTATTTATTTGGCATAGGGTGGTGGCAAACACCACAGTCAGCAAATGTCATTTTCGTTTGCCCAAACTTTCTAGTTCTAGTTACACGTATGAGGTGGAAATAATTTATCTTGTTTTTATAAACAGTTTAAATAATGACATCAGTTTTGTCCTCATCACTTGAGTTTCTTGCAGTTATTGGAAAGACTGATATCATACAGTCAAACCTGTAAGCGAACCTGACTATAACTAATAAGCGGTCACTTATACCAAAGTCTCCGAGATCATTTTCCTCAACTACTTGAAATGTAAAGTGAAGTAAGCCGTCACCTTAGTCCAGAGCCGTAGCTAGCGGGGGGGGGGGGGGTCCATTTTTGAAAATTTCCTAGAGGAGGATACCCTTAGACCCCCCTACAA